AAAAAAAAAAAAAAAAAACGTACGACCGATCAAACGAGCGACCGAAAAAAAAAAACAAAAAAAAAAACGAGCGACCGATCCAGGGAGCAGTAACTTCCGGGGGGGTTACAAGAAAAATGAGGGAGAGCAAAAAGGTTGGCCACACTTGGAGCTTTCACAGATGTATCTGGACGGAAAGGACGGCAAGATTCTGTCCGAAAGGTCCAGGTCTGAACAAGGTTGGGGCATGATAAAGATGGGAACAACGGATCCAGCAGGTTTGGAGGTTTTCGCACTAGGACTTTTGTCAGATGTATACGGCAGCAGTCACGACCACATTCATTCACAAAAAAGTTATCAGGGGGAAAAATATCTGGGGAGGAAGGGCTTCACAGCCAAAAAAGTGGGAGAGGTTCACTCACACGAAAACTCCCTCACATGTATCCGGCCGCAATCACGGCCACATTCTGTCCGAAAAGTGCAGTGTGAACACATTCTGTCCGAAAACTGCAGTGTGAACATGGCCGCTCTCTTTGGACGTCGCTCTGGTTTACACCCTTCACCCACGTGCACTTGCAAGGACGAGCTCAAATGAGACAAAAACAGAATCGATCACCAAGTTGTACCCCTGCTCTATAGAGAGAGACAGAGAGAGAGAACAGAGAGTGACACACACACACACACACACACACACACACACACACACAGACAGAGAGAGGTATTGGGTCAGTGTGAACTTGCGCTTCGAGGGAGAGAAGAAAAAGACATTGTCGGGAGAGAGAGAGAGAGAGAGAGAATTGATGGATCGATGGATGTATTGATCGAGCGAGACGGCGCGCACGCTCTGCGTACCGTCTCGGCGCATATCAAGGACAGGGACCCGCGCGTAATTTAGCAATCAGCTTTTGGGTCTCCTCTGCTAAATGGATAGTTGAATCGATCTTGACCACAAGATAGTTAGAGAAACCACACACACACAAGATAGATAGATAGATAGATAGATAGATAGATAGATAGATAGAGAGAGAGAGAGAGAGAGAGAGAGAGAGAGAGAGAGAGAGAGAGAGAGAGACGCAATGCCGTCGGATTCGGCGAAGAAGAAGGCAGCCGCCAAACGAGCGATGGTGGCTGCAAAGCATGGGAGCGGGAAACCCAAAACCTCGACAGCTGTCAGTAGCGGCGGAGGACACAGCAGCGGCGGCGGCGGCGGTGGGGCCGGCGGAGGCGGCGGATTGTTGACCACAATGAGTGCGCCGTCCTGCGGAGGGGAAACTACCATCACCAGTACGACGATGCCACGTGGCGGCAGCTCGTGCAGCGAGAAACAGCAAGGGAGCTCAGCGATGGCAGGCATCCTGCAAACGGAAACGGTAAATAAAAGGAAGAAGAAAAAAAAATAAATTAAAAGAAGAGGTAATGAGAATAAAAGGGAAAAAATAAATAAATTGTGTTGCTCACATGTATAAGACTTGTCGTTTCCAAAATAAAAAA